TATTAGATAAAATGAATATTGATAAAGTTTACCTTTATGTACAGAATCTGAATATCACAAAATATTTTAAAAAATTGCAATAATATCGTATCGTGCGTTAAGTATTGTGATAATATCGTATCGTGAGATGTATGGTGATTCCCACCTCTACAAGACAGGTGATATGTCATGCTGATATCTTTTGGTCGTTACTCCAAACTCATGGTACTAAGTCATGTAATAAGAGAGGTTCAAAGTTATATTGGTCTTTAAACCAACCAAGCCTGAGGCAAAATTCATAAAGTGCCAGAAGTGTAGGATAAGCATTTCACAGTGTGACTGCTGACTGCCAACTGACCAATAGGAATGCAGTGTGAAATGATGCACTGATCAACGAGCGCTTGTGAAAGAGCCAAAACAAACTCAAACAGTATAGATGGAAGTAAAGCATGCAAAACAAAATAGTTGAGATTCCAACAAAGAAGAAAATCTTGTTGAGAAGCTTTGTTTGTATGATTTGTCCCCCAGCTGGTATCATCACTGCGCCAAGGAGGGTGTAGCACGGAAAGATATATAGATGTATAACAGCTTTACGTCTTGGCCCAGATTCAGTACTACGCATTAATATCATAGAGAGTACATGCATCAAACCTCTAAGTTCCATGTTGGCTTGTAGTATACTCAGAGGAGTGCAGAAATCTCAAGATGTGTAGAATAGACTAGAATAGCCCTTTATTGTCTTTGAACATGGACTATGAAAATGTAGGTGCTTCGCATCAACTGTGCTGGGATAAAATATAAATAGCAAACAGGAGAAATATGTAAAATCAAGAAACAAGAGAAATGTAGACAAAAATAGGAGAAAGGCACACATAAGAGAAGTTGCAGTAAGTGACCTTAGACCAGCAAGCACACGGGCTACCTACATCATTACCTTACCAAAGTTCATGAGCACTTGTGTCCTAAGTTTGCCTCGTTTAATCTCTTTAATAAGCTCATTTATCTTGGTTCCATTGTGCTATGTGAAATTCTGGGTCTGACTTTCCAATTTCCTTCTATTATTTAGCACAAGCTGGCGCTCAGAACGTTTGCTTGTTTGTGGACATTTTGTGGACGTTGTCACACTAATGGATTCTAATGGGTTCTGTTAATGCGACTGTTGTGCTCGGAGACAAATAAAACCCAGCAATGCACAGTCACCCAGTAGGAATTTGTAAACTGGGAAGGTCGTTCCACCAGCTCACTGCCGTTCTGAATACTACTGTATCTTTGTTTTCAGTCTGTATTCATTTATTCTTTTATTTTGTCCTTCTCTTGATTGCACAGTGTTTGAGAAGACACTAATATAGTTTGAATGACACTTGGGGAAATCGACTGCACATGAATCCTTCAACTAAAGCAGCCAACCAATCAACAGATGGTTACAGTACATTGTTTTTTCTCATTTGGCTTACTGTTATGCAAGTTTATAAAAAGAAAGGAAGCTGGATATTGGCCAGAAAAACAGCAAAAGTAAACAAGAGGAAGATTGAAGGCAGTAAAAAAAGGACTGTGAATTTTCAATGGCCAACTGTGAAGAAGCTCTCAGCCTCAATTGATGTGATTTGAAGCTTGATGAATCCTTGTGTTCACCCCCTTTGGGTGCTGTATGAGTTCATTGCTGTTGACTATTCTCCAACATTCAGCTCTATCCCCAGTTGGTGCCTCAAAACTCCAATAAAAAAACCCTGTTTAGCTC